GGTTTAGGGTTTAGGGTTCCCTCCCTCCTTCCCCCCCCTTCTGGAAGAAAAAAACTATGCAAGCCTATCGTAAACCCTATGCTGCAACCCGGAAAACAACATCTAAACCCTTGATGGACCCCATGGAATTGAATGGGAAAAACCTCCGCGGAGGGGCTCCAAATCTCGGGCTGCTCGTTGACGCAAAAGGCCAGGAGCTTGTCATCCCCGCAGAACCTGCCGAGCTGGAGGGCCTTACCTCGAAGTTTAGGGTTTAGGGTTTNNAAGGGGGCCTTCATGATTAGAATAGGGTTTTGGGGTGTAGTATACTATAATTTTAAAAAGGACCCCCCAAAAAATAGTATTGGAAATTATTTAGGCCCCTACAGTGCTTTCATGTAGCTTTAAAGGATTCTCATTAATTCGACGTTGGGGCTGGTACCAGCAACCTACGAGAAGTAGATTATGGTGGTTTAGGTTTCGAGGTTTACGCTTTAAGCTTACAGATTTCGACTCGCACGGTTTAGGAGACAGGGACTAAACCTAAACCCTCAAGGGGTTTAGGGGTTTAGGGCTTAGGACCCTAAACCTTAAATTTAACCCCTTAAGTGCCAAACCCTAGGCCCCAAGCCCTTCTTGGTGCCTGCTCTTGCACTGTAGCTACAGGGTGTCTTCTGCCTCGAAGGGATCCAATAAGGGTTCCGAATAAGGGCTCCGCAAGGGTTCCTTTGCATAAGAGCTCGAGGGGGGTCTAGGGTGCATTCATAGAGTCGGGAAGTTGGCGTGTATGTTAAAATATGCTTATCCAAGAGGGTCCACATATAGTACTATTATGGGCCCCCAAAACCAAAATAGGGATGGTCTTTTGGGACCTAATTCCATAATGGTAGTGTATATGGATCCTCTGAATATTGTAACAATATGGTCTAGTTTAGTATATACCATGGTAGTATCATAGGATATCCGCGTATATGATCGTACCTTTTGACGAAGGTCCGATGGTTGGCCTTCTGTACGCCTTAGGCGACCATTGAAACAATGTTAAGGGGTTTCTTAGGGTTAGAGTTACGGTTTAGGGTTCAGAGTTTAGGGTTTAGCAATGCTTGGCCTGGTCTTCGGGTGTTACAGAGATTCAATTCTGTTCTAAGGGCTTCGGGAGTAAAGGGCTGAGAGCTCTTTAAAGTTGCTGTAGGTCTTGCTAAGGGGAGGTTGGTTGGTTTTGACCGTTGTCTGCACAGGATTAAACCCTGTTGCCGATGCATCGTTTCTTCCCGGTGACACCTGAGGACTGTTGCGGCTCTGAGAATTGAGGATATACCTGTATCCCCAAACCCTACAAAATAGTAGATATTATGGCCCCTTAATTAGAGGGTCTAACCCTTAAAACGGTAGGTTTTTGTCTCCACAGGTAGAGAATAGTGGCGGGTACGAATCCTAACTCGAGGAATCTTTGGTCCTTGAGCGGCCTGATGTTGAAACACCGCTTCTCTGTCAGTTGGCGCAGTTGATCTCCTGTGGATGCGTCCCACACCTTGGTTTGGTTTAGGGTTTAGGGTTTAGGGTTTATCGTTTAGGGAAATATAAAACATATTCGGAAAACCAAAAATTAAGGGAAAAAGGCCCCTAAGATTGACCAAGAAACCTTGATACCTTGACCGGCTGTCACGAGCGTCTGAGAGCTGTCGCCAGGAGAGAACGAAACGACCTGCGGGAATGAGGTGAGCAGAGTGAAGATTTGAGTGCCGGATGCAGCATCGCAGACTATGGCGGTGCCTCCGGCTGTTGCTACCACCTTCGCTCCATCCGGCGAGAAAGCTGCATGGGTGAATTCATATTTTAGGGGCTCCACCGTCAAGCCCTTCTTCTCCAATTGCTTCTTTTTCTTGGGCGAGATTGGCTGCTCGGGGCTGTCCAGGACCCAAATTGTGGAGAGGGTGTTGACATCCCACACCCGCGTGGTGCAATCGTCGGAAGCGGTGACGACCCTGGTGCCGTCTTTGGAGAACTCCGCATAGTTCACTCCCTGGCGATGGCCGCGGAGAACCTTTGGGCCTTCCCCAGGCTCATCGGCGTTCCAGAGTGCAACTTTCCCTGATGTATAGGCGGCCACAAGCATATTGGGAGCTGAGTCTACCAGCAACAGCTCCGCACCATCCTCCACATCCGCCTCGGCAAGCGTTTGGGTCGGCATGAGCTGCCTTGAACCAAAAAAAATCTTTCTCGACGGGGCGACGCCATAAGTGGCCCCCACTTTTGCCAATAGATCCTGCAGTGACCACGATGGCTCCGCCTCGACTGTGACAGTTTTGCCAGAGACCGCTCCAACGTGTAGCTTCATGGCACCGGAATGAAAGGAACAGCAGATCTTAGTACGAGGCGATTCCCGGGAAAGGCTAAGCTTTTCGGTTTCAGGGAGGCTTTGTGTGAGTCGAAAAAACCGTGGCATGAAGAGGTTCCATCACAACCTTCTCGACTGCTGAGAAGACCGGCAATGGAGAAAAGTTTCGGGGTGATGCGAGCTGTCGTCCACGCATGGGGCAGTGATGACCGTGATGCAAGGGTCTTGATAGTTACTTAGCGCAGGGCTGCTGAATCCCCTGAACCCTAAACCCTAAACCCTAAGACCCTAAACCCCAAATCCCTAAACCCTGTCTTGGAGGGTTCTGTATACGGCTTCCACAACCCTCAACCCCAAAACCTTAGGCCTAAAACCCTAAACTCTCAACCCCAAAACCTTAAACCCTAAACTCTCAACCCCAAAACCTTAAACCCTAAACCCTAAACTCTCAACCCCAAAACCTTAGGCCTTAGGCCTTAGATCATGTCAATTCCTCGGGATTCGGATCTGGGAAGCACGCTGCCACTGCAGACCGACCTGTGGCCCAAAAGACCTACCTTTTTAAGGAACTATATATATATATATATAGATTTATTATGTATTTAGTTATCTATATACGTGTATACATTATATATATATATATATATTTATGTGTATATATATTAACCATACTAAGGAACACCAAAATAGTAGGTGTTTTCGGCTGCAGGTAAGAACTGTAAAAACTTGCTTGAAGAATCAAAACGGGTTCAGGGTTGAAGAAAAACCCCTAAAGGCCCTAAAGCCCTAAACCGGTAAACCCCTAAACCTAAACCCCTAATCCCTAAACCCCTAAAGCCCTAAACCTTAAACCCTAAACCCCCTAAAGCCCTAAGCCCTAAATCTTAAACCCCTAATGCCCTAAAGCCCTAAACCCTAATCCCCTATAGCCCTAAACCCTGAACCCCTGAAGCCCTAAACCCCTAAAGCCCTAAACCCTGAACCCCTAAAGACCTAAACCCCAAACCCTAAACCCCAAAAGAGCTGAACCCAAAACCTTAAACTCCTAAAGCCCTAAACCCCAAACCACCCCAAACCTTAAGCTCCTAAAGCCCTAAAGAGCTGAACCTCAAACCCCTAAAGAGCTGAACTCTGAGCTCCACAAATGGGAGTTTCCGGTGATTAGGGTTTAGGGTTTAGGGTTTAGGGTTTACCTTATTTTGGGGTCCTTATAGTAAGGATCCTATTATTTAGGGTGCTATATTAGGGTCCCCTATTTTCGGAATCCCACAAATCGAAACGGAACCGTGGAGCTCAGCTCAGCTGAGCTTGGACGAGTACAGGTTTCTGTAGGGTTTACACTCTAGGGGTTTAGGGGTTTAGGGTTTAGGGGTTTAGGGGTTTAGGGTTGAGGGTTTAGGGTCTAGGGTTTAGGGTTTAGGGTGGGTCTGCATAGGGTCTTTTCATGAGGTTTCTGCAGGATACTTTGAATGCGGTTGAATTAGGTTCTGTAGGATGTCTGCAGGGCTGATTATAAGGATTCGAGTTTAATGATGCGATTTTGGGCATAAGTAATATGGAGTTTGGGCCGCGCTGTAGTAGCCTCATGCATAAGCTTCCAACATCCTTAATCCTAGAACCTTAAACAAACCTAATCTTAATCCAAGGTTCAAAGCTTAGGCACTTTTCCGCAAATGAGCCCTGCTCGGGTCGTCTGCGAATCTGTACACAGCTTTGGCGCTTTGGGCGGCACTTGCACGTGTTTCGGCGCTCTGTATGAGTTAAGGCTTCAGCGTTCTGGGCTTAGGGATCAGGTTGAAGTCTGGACAACTTTTCGTCATCCTCACCAACCAGCATTCCTCCCGGTAGAACGTACCTGGCGTCCCGGTACCTCTCGTTTTTGCTGCCCACTACTGCCCGCAAATCCCGAACGGTGGAAGCAGGCTCCAGGACAAACTTGCCCAAGCAATCGCCAGACAGAGAGAGAATCTGTGCATCCACCGCCTGCACTTGTTGGGTTTAGAGACTAGGCTTATGCTTCACATGCCGGTCACCGGGACCTTGTCATGTTTGGGTCGTCTTGTAAGTAAGCCAATAAGTTCGGGGCTTGTATGGCTCACCACGACAGCCGTAATGCAAGACGTGTTGAAGTCTTTGGACAGGGTTTGGGCGAATATGACTGCTGCATATATATATATATAGATACATAGAAAAGGTAATTTTGATAATATACGATGATATAATATAAGTAAAATGAGCAAATGTACAAATAGGTATAGATATAAAACGTTACATACATGCATACATCTATACGGGTATATGGATACATACATACAATACACACATACATGCACCATGATGCAATCATACCAACTACCATGTCGACATACGCCTTTCGAAATTTGCTCACGGCCTACTATACCCCACTCATTCTCTGCCTACGAGCCTTGGGAAGCCTCCTCTCGAAACGCCCGTTCAACATGCTGGAGACCGTACCCAATCACTCAAAGCTCCTGTATTCTGCAGTAGGGGTTACGGCAGATGGCCAAAGAGACATGGCTCCCTATGTCGCCAAACCCAAACCTGGAACCCGACCACGAACCCTAGTTACGGTTTAAGGTTGCGGCTTGGAGTGCCACAGTAGGCCCTTTCGTCCCGAAGCATTGTTGACATTGCCAGGAGCCCCTTAGGTTGAATCTACCTAGGTTGGACCTTTAAAGCCTATGAAACAAGCATTATATGATCTTCTGGAACTACCGTATATAATGCCAGAGGTCTACTTAGAAAACACGAAACAAGTGACTCAACAAAACCCTTGCCCATAAACTAGGTCCTAACCCGAAAACCATACCTCCCTTACATGTAGTATTTGTTTTGGTTGCATGCGGTTCTTATTATAGAACCCTAACCATAACATTAGTCATTCAAAAAACGGTACGTGCTACATTTAAGAGTCTAGGTACCCCAAAAACCCTAAACCCTAAACCTCAAGGAAAACCGGGCCGGGTGGCCGTGTCTGAGCATCTGATTTCCAGCTGAAGAACCAGGCTAGGCCGTTGCAGCAGGATACGAGTCCAAAGACCCTGTAGCCTGCTTACCAGGGTTTAGGTTTAGGGTTTAGGGTTTAGGGTTTAGGGTTTAGGGTTTAGGGTTTAGGGTTTAGGGTTTAGGTTTTACGGTTTTGGGCCTTTTGGGGACTGTAGGGTACAGGGTCAAGGGTTTAGGCGCCTTAATATTTGGAATAGAGGTTTTCGGCCGTACAGTAAGTATAGTATGCCTGCAACAAGGAACTATCTTGGTTTGGGTTTGGGTAGGGTTTGACGCTTCTCGATTTGTTTGTGTAGGATTTCAGGGTTTAGGCAGGGCTTCTCGGGTTTACTGTATTGGGCTCGGGATGTTCCGCAGGGACTCCCTGTAAGCCCCCCCCGACTCCCACGACTGGGAGGGTCTGATCTAACCCTAAACCCTAAACCCTAAACTCCTAAACCCTAAACCCTAAACAGGACACATTTCAGCACAGGCCTGCATCCTGAATCCGCCCCCCAACATCCTCTAATGTAGGGGCCTTGATCATTGGAATAGGGTTAGGGTTTGGGGATATGTTATACTAGAACTTTAATCAGGAACCCACGGGCTTGGGGAGAAATTATACTTTAATTATAATAAGGAACAACCAAAACCCTGTTCTAATTATTTAGGCCCCTACATTACACCCTAAACCCCAAAACCCTAAACCCTACACATTGTGCTCACGCGAAAAGCATCTTGAAGCCATACACTTGGAGCCTTGCCTCCCCCTTGTCCTTGCTGCGCACAGCTGGACCCACGAACGCCAGTTTAGGGTTTAGGGTTTAGGGCAACAGAAGCTTTAGGCACTTTCGGCTAGAAGCCCCAAACCCTATAATAAACCCTAGGTCAAGGGTGTGTCCATTGATACTCATCATATTTGTACAAGATGTGCTTCGATCCAACAGTACACACCATGCAAAACCCACGCAATTTGCCAAGCCCTGGTCCTCGCGTGGTCTGGGATCACGGACTCCGCGTGCCGCCCGTGCCAAAGCAAGAAGTCACCGTCCGCGAACCTCGATTTTAGATGCAATCGCCGACCCAAACCCGAACAGCTCTAGACGATGACTGCAGCAGGCGCAAGGAATAATGGGCTATAGCTATGTACAATACGGGCTCCGGAAGTGTTTTGTAGCATATTATCTGACGACAATACTGGCAATCTTTCAGCCAGCACCATATAATGCCTAGAATGCTGGTGCCATTGCCGTCAAAGCATCTTCGGGCTGTGCTAACGAAGGTAGTGATGGACATTATCGTTGTGATGATAATGTCACATCCAAATGGGGGTTTCCGAAAATGGGGGACCCTAATATGGTACCATGAATAGTACGACCCTTATTTTAAGGACCCCCAAAATAACGTAGCCCTAATTTTCGGAGTTGCTTCCTCGCAAATATTACATATTCACCGCTCTAGAGCTCCTCCATCAGCCATCATCGCAACCAAAGCCTTAAACCAAAAAACCCTAAACCCAATAAGCCCTAAAAGGCCTATAAACTCTAAGCCATCGGGGCTCTTTGGGGCCTCGTCGGCCTGTGGACCCAGAGAACCCAATACCCCTTAAATGAGGAATATACCTTAAAATCTAGGGGCCTTAATATTATGGTTCAAGGTATATGTTCCTTAATTCCCTTAAACCCTAAGCCCTTCTAGATCCCTTTAAGGAGCCCTTTAAGGTATATTCCTTAGTTAAGGGGTGTTGGGCTCTCTGGGGATGAGACCTGACTGCGAATTTTGGCCATGGATGCTGACGTAAAGAGTTCAGCTCCCTGAAGCGAGCCTGCAAGACTTTTAGACTTTAGGGCTTAAGGGTTTAAGGGTTTAGGGGTTTAGGGGTTTGGGGGTTTAGGGGTTTCGGGATTTGGGGGTTCAGGGTCTAGGGATCTATGTTGCCGCTGAAAGAGCTATTGGCCACATCGAGTTGAAGGTGCCACTTACAAACCCAAGCCCCGAACACTAGAACACAACTCCCCAATCGGGCAGATTACCGGGGTAGAGTGCCCATTCATGGCGAACCTTCGTTGGAGCATCCCAATCGGGAACATTCTGCTCTTCAATTTCTCGATGTTCTGAGGCTTGAAGAATGGTAGCTGCATGCTGCAGTCGTGCACTTGGGATTTAAGGTTAGCTACAGGACATAGGCTGCTTTCGCCGCCAAGTTTGCTACTCTCTCCCAAACCCTAAACCCTAAACCCTAAACCCCAAAACCTGCCACCTCCGTAGTTGAACCTTACAAGGTCTGGTCCTTCTGCCAGCGATTCAGCGACTCCCTCAACGGTTGATGAAATCAATCCTGCATTACCCATAATGAGGAATACCTTAAGAACCCAAAACCTACTTTTTTGTAGGGTCCCTATAAATCCCATATTAGGGTTTATAATAAGAACCTACAACAAGTGGGTTTTGGGTTCTTAAGGTATACCATAATTCCCACAGTTTAGGGTCCAAGAGGTAATGCAGGATTTATATCATCAACAGAATGGCTCCGCAAAAATGCCGGAACGAATCCTGGAACCCGAAACCCTAAACCTCGAACCCCGAAGCCCCAAAGCTCCAACGCTAAACCCTAAACCCTAAACCCTAAACCTGCAACTTGGCCGAGGTGCTTTGTGCCTCGATCTGCCTCTCTCCACTGGCTTCCACGGTTGCTTCTGAAGACAGCATCCTCCCACGAAGTTTAGGGAGTTCAGGGTTTTGGGTTTAGGGTTTAGGGTTTAGGGCTCAGGGTTTAGGGTTTAGGGTTTACGGAGAAGTGCACCAACGGCAAAATTTCAGGAAACGTTGCAGTAGCAGCGGTCGTCGTCGTCGCACTGGGAGTAGTACTTGTACAGTACAGTACAGTACAGTACAGTACAGTACAGTACAGTACAGTACAGTACAGTACAGTACAGTACAGTACAGTACAGTACAGTACCGTACAGTAGTAGTAGTAGTAGTAGTAGTAGTAGTAGTAGCAGTAACAGTAGCAATTAGTAGTAGTAGTACGTAGCGGTAAATATAAATTCATGCTCGTAGAACGTGGTCTTCGGGGCTGCCCCTAAGCCCCGCAGCAGCTTCACCTTCAACGAACTGCCAAAGGCATGAAACCCACTTAGGGTTTAAGGGTTTAGGGTTCAGGGTTTAGGGCTTTTAAGGTTTAGGGCTTAGGGCTTTTTAGGGTTTAGGGTTTAGGGTGAGCAAATGCCTAGACTCTTAGACCCTGCATCCCTAAACTTAACCCAAAGTACCCTCCCGGATTCCTCCAGAGAACCTAATACTCCTGAAATTAACGAAAAACCTGAAATTAGAGGAGCCTTAATATTATGATTTACGGCATCTTCCTTAATTAGAGGGGTATTGGGCTCTCTGGGCACTTCTAAAAGCCCAGACTTAGCATGGTGGCCTGCAGAAATAGAATCGGGGTTTTCATAACAGGGAACCTTAAAGGATAGGGTGGTTAACCCTAAACCCTGAACTTTACAGAAAGGAACGCTGTGGGGGC